TCGGGTGGCCGTGCCCAAGTGGCCCGTGAGCCGGAATGAGGTGAGGGAGGGCAGACAGCACGTCCCTCGGCTCCCCTGCCCAGCTGCCATTTCTCAGGCCCAGACAAGGGTTCAAGACTCGGTCCAGCCAGGCGCGCCAGCCTGTGGTACCTGATAGCCCCGGATCACACCATTCTGGTTTTCAGCTGGGGGTGGCACCCAGCGCACGAGGATGCTGCCGTTGTCAGGTTTTAGGGTCACCTCCTGGGGTGGGGCACTGGGCACTGGGGGAGGGGAGAGGTGTGAGAGAGACCGGGAGGAGTCCAGGGAGGCTGGAGAGGCAGTCCACCCTCGCTGAGGAAACGGAGTTCCTGGCGGCCACCTGCCCGGCCAGGCCCCCCCCCAGCCGGCGGTGACCCGGGGCCCGGGGGGCTGACCTTGCTCCGGCAGCCTGAGGAGCAGCACGTTGCTGTCGGGGCCTCGAGCCCGGCCGGAGGACGGTCTCACCTTGAACTCGTAGTCCTCACCCCAGCGCAGGCCTGCTAGCTCTGCGCTCTGCCAGCCGGCCAGCAGTGCCTCTGTCCACGGAGCGCCTGGGCCTCCCGGGGGTGCCTGGGCCCTGAACAGGGCCGTGTAGGACCGGGCAGGCGCGGCAGGGCCGCTCACCTGGGAACAGGGAGGAGGCCCAGCGGTCAGGGGTGGAGGCACTGCCTGTACATGCCTCCGTGCCGGCGCCTGTGACCAGCTCCTGCCCCAGCACTTTAACCACCATGCCGCTGCTGGCCCAGACCAGCCCTCTCAGTGCAACCCCAGGACTCACCTTCCAGCGGAGCCACACAGTGGGGCTGGGCCTGGGGCCCCGGGCGGGGTCGGGCTGCAGCAGGGTCACGTTCTCCAGCTGTATGCGCACAGCCAGGAGCTCCACGGGCTCCCTGTCCTCCGGGGGCTCTGTGGGCAGGTGGGCCGGGCGGCCCCAGGCCAGAGCGTGGAGTCAGGGGAGCACTCCCAGGCCAGAGAGGACCCAGAGTCCTGGAGCCCTGGGTCGAGTGCACTCTAGTTCCCCTCTAGCCTCTGCCCCGGACCCCAGCCCACACCCTGGCCGGGCCTGTACCCTGCACGGACACCCTGGCCGCTCGGCTCTCCCGCTGCCCGGCGCTGTTGGTGGCCACACACACGTAGGCACCCGCGTCACTCTTCTCTGCTCTTGTCACCAGCAGGGACCCCCTGGACATCTGTGAAGATCAGGCACCGTGAAGGCTCCTGCTGGGAACATGGGACCCTTGCACATGCCCAGTCTTGCCCAGGACACTCACCGTGCATCGTCCTGGCTGGAGGGTCAGGGGGCTCCCATCCTTCCACCAGGAGACTGTGGGCTCTGGGTGGCCCCAGGGTGGCCTGCACTCCAGAAGCAGCTGCTCCCCCAGCACTGCCTCTGTGTCCTGAGGCTGGATCTGGAAGTCCTCCCGGAGGACTGTGGGAGGGCACAAGGCTGGCAGGGAGCAGGTCTGCTACCCCAAGGCCGCCCCACTCTGCCCTGCTCATCTCCCAGCGTCCTGTCCCCCCGCCCCACCGACATCCCCCAAAACTTCCTGCGACTCAGTCAACTCCCCCTGCGCCTGCCTAGGCCTCACCCGCTACAGACAGCCGAGCACCCCTGCTGACAGCGATGCCTAGCCGGTTGCTGGCCTCGCACGTGTAGACACCCAGGTCCGCGGATGGGGCCTGCTCGCTGTGGGCAGGGCCTCGGGCAGGGGGTCGCAGCAGCAGGAGGGTCCCGTCAGGGAGGAGGTGGTGCAGGTCTGGGGGCCCCACGCTCAGGGGCTGCCCGTTGAGCAGCCAGCGGATGGTGGGCGGCGGCTGGCCGGAGGCCCGGCAGTTCATCCTGGCAGGGCCAGAGCCCTGCAGCAGCTGGTCCTGCGGGTGCTCCAGGATCTGGGGTGGGGAGTCCTGAGCGGCCTCTCCTGGGGCGAAGGGGCAGACCCGGGACTGGCACCCCGCCCAGCCCCGATCCCCATCCCCTGCCCTGCTGGCAGCGAGCAGCTGTGGGGGAGCAGCCTGCTGGCTTGGCCTCCTTGCTCACACTCACTCACACTCATGCACACCCCCACACTCTCTCACCACACATACGCACGCCCACTCACACCCACATACTCACCCACATGCACACACTCTCAAACACACATACTCACACTCATGCACACACACTCCTCCACTCTCTCACCCCCACATATGCACACCCACTCACACCCACACTCTCATCCACTCACACCCATATATGCACACTCACACCCACATTTATACACACCCACTCACACTCCCCCACACTCACACACACTCTCACACACACATACTCACACCCACTCATGCCCACATACTCACACTTTCATACACATACACCTACTTACACACACACGCACACACACACACACACTCTCACACCCACATACACACTCTCATGCCCACACACACACGCTCCCCCACCCACACACTCACACTATCACCCATCACTGTCACTCACTCACACCCAGATTTATACACCCTGTCACATACTCACACTCTCATACACACACACACACTCTCACACCCACATACACACTCTCATGCCCACACACACACACTCTCACGCCCACACACTCACACTATCACCCATCACTGTCACTCACTCACACCCAGATTTATACACCCTGTCACATACTCACACTCTCATACACACTCATGCGCACGCTCACACATGCCCAGACACACCCCCACTCGTATACCTAGTCGCACTCATACCACATGCCCATCCTCACTGACACTCATTCACACACACACTCGCACATGCTCACACTCGCACACGCCCACTCACACACCCATTCAGTCACATCCACTCACACTCATGCTCACACTCATCCTCGTCCCACACCCTCACAGCCACACTCTCAGTCACAGTCATTCGCTCACACCAGGACACAACACGCCCACACACGCTCATGTACTCCCCCGTGCTCACGCTCACCCGTACTCACTCTCGTCACTGTCACCTGCCCTGCTCCAAGGGAGCCCCTTCTTACCCGTGAAGACCAGGAGCAGGAGAGGCAGGCCCAGTCCCCCAGGACCCATGGCCGCTCTGTCTGGGCCCAAGCGCTTTGTCCTGCCTGCCTCGCTCACAGGAGGGAGGAGGGTGAGGTGGGCGGTTGTTTGTAACTGAGTCTCTGCCCAGGAGGGAAGCGGCCCTGAGGAAACCGATGCTTCCTGCCTCGGAGGGCTGGAGGAGAGTGGAGGCACGAAGCTGCCTGACCTCGCCCACAGCCATGACCCTGACCGCGAATTCAGCCCTTGGTTACTGGGAGCTAGTCTGAGGTTTTTAAATGTAATATATTTTAAACTTCATTATTTAAAAAATTTGCTATAGGGCACGTGTGCTTGCCAGAGAGAAACATTGACGGGGAGAGGGAGAATGAGGGACCCCCCAGGGAGTATGGCCAACCTGCAGCCCCCCTCCTGCCTCCCCTTGGGCATTCGGGCGCCCACACACATGGGCCTGGCATGTCTTTCAAGCTGCCGGGTCTGGGACTCAAATCAAACAGCCGGCCATGTGGGATCCAGCTGCCTTAGCCACCAACTCGCTGACGGGCCCCAGGACTGGGACTTCTTAAACTGAGCCCTCGCACTCACCGTGACCCAACCATGTCCTTAGTCGCGACACTCTATTCAAATCTTAAATATATATATATATATTCATTTATTTCTTCTGAGAGAGAGAGTGAGCACCCCGCAGGGCCTTCATGCCGCTGGCTCAGTCCAGCCTAGAGAAGGGCGTGTGTGCACCTCATGTCCAGGGACCCCGGTGCAGACCCGAACCTCCACCTGCGGTTCTAGCCCCTGAGGTCCACGTCGCGGCAGCGCCCCGCAGCCCTCTGGGACTGTCCCTTCTCCCTCGGCCCAGTCCTTGTCCTCCGTCTCCAGGCAGCCGCAGCCTAGAGGAGCCGGGCTCAGTGTGGTGGACTACAGGGGAGTGGCGGGAGAGCAGGAGTGGAAGGTCGTTCTGCGTCCCCTGTGCCCAGGGAGAGCGGGCCAGGTGGGGGTGGCGGGGGGGCAGGGAGGAAGGACTCAGAGCCTCTGGCCATGGACAGTTCCCGGAGGGGGTCCTGTCCAGCTCAGAGACAGCCAGGGTGGAGGCTGTGAGGGCAGGCTGCATGGTTTCTGTAGCTGACGCAGGGGAACGACAGGGCCCACCTCGAGGCCCCGGGCGGTGACGGGCCGGGAAAAGCATGGAATCACAGATGCCCAGCCGACTGCCGGGTCAGCGTGGCCGGCCCTGGCCAGTGCTGTGTTCCCAGCTCCGCACGGTGCTCAGGCCCTGGAAGGGGTGGGGCACAGGCCCTGGGAGCCTCTCGAGTCCTCAGACCCCAGAGCATGCCTGGCAGCTTGGCTTCAGGTTTGCCCTCACTCTCCTGCCATAGCACAGGTGGGAGGAGAGAGGAGAGACAGGGAGGGAGGGAAGGAGGGGGAGACAGGAGGGGGAAGACAGGAGGGGGAAGACAGGAGTGGGGACAGGGGAGACAGGGAGGGAAACAGGGAGGGGGGACACAGGAGGGAGACAGGGAAGGAGAGACAGGAGGAGACAAGGAGAGGGGAGACAGGGAGGGAGAGACAGGGAGGGGGAGACAGGGAAGGGGAGACAGGAGCGGGGAGACAGGGAGGGGAAGACAGGGAGGGGGAGACAGGGAAGGGGAGACAGGAGCGGGGAGACAGGGAGGGGGAGACAGGGAGGGGGAGACAGGGCAGGGGAGACAGGAGC